ACGAGACATCTCGGAGGTACTTGTTTCGTCTTGCAGGTAGGACGTAGCCAAAACATTCAGGATCTTCCAAAGTTGACCTTCTTGACCTCCAAGACTCCGGCGGGCGGAATATCGCGACAAACCAGGCGATTATTTCAGCGAGTATGTCGTAGGGGAGAATGGTGGAATGTGCAGGATCTGGGGAGACCATAATAGCTTGGACCAGCTTCCAACGTCGATGTTTGGGGCAACTTGGAGGGACTGCAGCTGCAAGGCTTATATGGTGGCCGCACGTGTCAACAGATCTGTATCAGATCAGTCAGACGAACAATGGATCATTGGCCTGCCGGCTATGGCCACGGGCGTGCTGATTTCGCGCTGTCGCTGTCACAATCCACATACCGTACATCTTCGTCGCGCGCATTCCAGCCACTTCCAAAATGATAGGCGGGCGCGTGTGAATCACACGGAGGCGGACTACGAGCTGGGTGGCAATTTTAAGTCGCCGACTGACCTCACCCAGCCAAATGCAGCACGGCACTGCAATGCCGGGTAAGTCCGATTGATGTTTGACATACTCCGTCACGGTCCGACTACGAGTAACTTCTTACAACCCGCCCGTACCCATGGGAGTGGCTGTCAGAGCTTTTCACTCGCTGGTCACAGTACGCTTGGGCTCACCAGAATTACAAACCTACCGACGATTTGCTCCCATAACATAGTCTCTAAGGTCATCCAAGTCCAATATTTCGTAGGCTAGCACACAAAATTGGAAGACTGAGGCTGGATGCACTCAATACCGACAACAACAGGCTTACTGTGCGGATTCCGGTCCTTCATAAATAAGAATTACGATGATCCTAGCGCCTCGGCCAGAAGTCGATAGTAGAAGGATCGATGTCTGGGATGTCTGGCATCGCGAGCGCAGGTCGACTGATGATAGGCTCCAGGTTTTTTTTTCTTTTGATAGTTGGATATCGATCTATACCTCCGCGAAGGCGTGTATGACAGTTTGGTGCAAGTCATGCCATAGTTGCTGCAGCGACCGCAGGACATGAATCAGTGGCATGGAAGGGGAAGTGATAAATGACATACGGATATGTGCATCCTGTGGTCGCACATCACGGCGAACTCGATATGGACAGACGCATGGGGGATTGAGAGAGAGGACTCTGCGCACTGACGTAGTATCTCACATGTAAACTCGAGGGATCGGAAAGCTGTGACATGCAGTTACGATTGAGCCCATATAATAATAATGGCTCAACAACAAATGGCCGCTAACCTTCTAAAATTCTGTAGTCTCTGCACTCCAGTCTAAGCACACCCTCTATACCTAGGAGCGGATCCACGTTTTCAGGAGGATGAAGTGGTCTGATATCACAGGTTTTGAGGTCCACAGGGACGCGTGTAACACGCCACCCTCTTCAGAACAATGGAAGCGGATGATAAGGAGCCTTCAGGGTAGTCTTCATGAGTACATGCTGTAAGATGGAGACCGTTGAGACGGGCCATCACGAGTGAGGAATTGCAACGCGTCACAAGGGTCGGGAACGAGAGACTCGGGCAAAGCTGGTAGATCTCTCGTACTAGCACCCATAACGTACAATCCATGGATAAATGTTGCCTTGCTCGCCATATGCGCAATTCGAAGTGGGTTTGCTGCTGAGGATATTTTCCATGCTTCTCTTTGTCTTCGGGAAGGAGAGCAAATGGTTGCGCCCTGTACTCGGTGCGAAAAGTGAGGACGCACGTAGTGAAGATGTATTGTGCGCAGATGCTCTTGAGAGATGACCAGCGAAAGGTGATGGAAATGTCGGTGCTGTTTATAAGGTTGTATGCGGCCAAAGGCTTCAAGAGAATTACCTATAAGTTGTGCCAAGTGTCTCGAACGCGACGGTTTGAGGGGTCCGGCGCAAAGATTGCCTCAAACCAGGCAACGACATCCACAAGTACGTGGTAGGGGAGGATGATAGAATGCTTAGGATGTGGGGAGACCATGGCGGCGTCCTGAGAGGCTGGGTACAGGAGAGTCAGAGGAATAAGTACAAGAATTGATGTCTGCGATTCAGATCTCGCCTTCCTCATTCTGAATATCTGTCGACCCGCGCGTGCAGAGCAACTCCCAGCTGCACGTTCCAAAAGTCTACCAGCATTCTCACCCGAGTCGCTGTGCTATGGCTTCTACCTCAAAGTCCCCCGAACCAGCGACTGGTCCTAGTCGACCAAGCTTCAAATCCTTCGGTCTCATCGACCCCCTAGTCGAAGCTCTCGAGCAAATGAAGTTTACGCAGCCTACAGAAATTCAGGCTCAAGCTCTCCCTCATGCGTTACAAGGACGAGACATTATCGGAGTGGCCTCTACCGGCTCTGGCAAGACAGCCGCGTTCGCGCTGCCCATCTTGCAAAAGCTATGGGACGAGCCCAAGGGACTGTTTGCTTGTGTCATGGCGCCGACGAGGGAGCTGGCATTCCAGATAGGAGAGCAGTTCGAGGCTTTGGGGAGTGCTATGGGAGTGAGGTGCTGTGTGATTACTGGTGGGACTCCAGAGTTGCAGCAAAGTATTGCTCTGGCGAAGAAGCCTCATATCGTGATCGCTACTCCTGGACGATTGAACTGGCACCTCGAAAATACAAAAGGGTTCAGTCTCAGGAACCTCCAGTTCTTGGTCAGTCTACTCGTCAGTTGGAACACAACACGCGAGGGAGCTGAATATCATCATTACTAGGTACTTGACGAAGCAGATCGGTTGTTGGACCTCGACTTTGGTGCAGTCCTCGACAAAATCCTCAAAATGCTCCCGACGGAGCGAACAACCTACCTTTTCTCGGCAACAATGACAACCAAAGTCGCAAAGCTGCAACGCGCGAGTTTGACGAACCCAGTAAGAGTAGAGGTCTCGACAAAGTGCGCACCAACCACAGCATACAACTTTCTCCAGTGCTTACAAGAGGTTATTTTCAGGTACTCTACCGTCGACACCTTACTACAATATTATCTGTTTATACCGCTTAATCAAAAGGACGTGCATCTCGTCCACTTGGCGAACACTCTGGCACAAAACTCGATCATAGTATTTACTAGGACCGTGCATGATGCACAGAGGTGCGTCTCCTTATAATATTCACACTCAATAGCCCTGTTAATTGTCTGGGTATTTTATAGACTGTCAATAATATTGCGCAACCTCGGTTTCCCAGCCGTACCCTTACATGGTCAGCTCAGTCAAAGCCATCGATTAGGTGCATTGGCTAAATTTAAGAGTGGGGGACGAAGTGTGCTGGTAGCAACAGACGTTGCGAGTCGGTACGCATGCTGCACACGATGGTCATCACATCATACTCACTAGCTCTACTCTACTTCAGTGGCCTAGACATACCTTCAGTCGACGTTGTCATCAATTTCGACATTCCAACGCACTCAAAGGACTATATCCATCGAGTCGGTAGAACGGCTCGTGCAGGCCGTTCAGGAAAGTCGATAACGCTGGTCTCCCAATACGACGTCGAGTTGATACAGCGAATCGAGAGCGTCATTGGCAAGAAGATGGATTTGTGGCCCACTGACAAAGAGGAGGTCGCGCTTCTGAGAGAACGGGTGGACGAAGCGGGTAGGTTGGCTGCGAATGAGCTGAAGGATCAGGCAAAGAATGGCGGGCATGGCAAGAAGAGGAGACGAGGAGATGAGGGTAATGCGCGTGACAATCAGGATAGAGATGACGATATGGTTGAGGCAGGTATGCCGTCAAAAAAGAAAAAGGGTCGCCGGTAATGCTACTCTTTGTGCCGTGTTTCTCTGAGATTTCTGCTGTTACTTTCCCCGCTTTCGATGTACCGTTGCATTATCACTATCATTATCACATTGGTCAGGCCAAGCGCAGGTGAAATGATCATCGTATTCAGAGGTACGCAACATTGACCCGCAGAGGTATTCGATGCTCAATGTACAAACATCAAATCCGATCTGAGGACGTACTTTGTCCCGGTGAGCACCGGAGATCCTTCATGCAACAAGCATTCGTTCCCATGCCTGACCAAAATAACCACAACCGTCAGATCCGACTCTAGCTAAACGCGCCGTAGACAGCCTTACCGATGCAACAATGCAGTACCGCGCGACAATGGTGCAGAGACCGCTTCTCGGGGCTTGCCACGATGATCTTGGTAAAAGATAGTCTAAGTACGAGAAACAGTGATCAAGGGAAATTCACAACGGTCGAAGATGGGCGTTTCGTACATACCTCTCCGCCCTGAACTCCATCCTGTGCGCCGGTTAGGTAGATCAGAAGTGTCCATTCGGATTTAGCACCCGTCACCACGTCTCGCACAGAGTCATCGTAGTGTGGTCCAAAATATTGGCCGGCAGTGTACTTGTACAGCCTGATATTCGTGTTGAGAGAGTGAATCGCTCTCTGTCCAGATACGGCCGCTGGTCTTCTCGACACAGAGGAAGGAGGAGGGAACGAAGGCAGGTGAGGAGAGAGCACGTCGTACAAGTTCTGTGCAAACTCTGGGGAGGTTATCGATATTCTATCTTCACCGCGGCTCTGGTCAGGCTCTGCCTGCAGCACATTGGATAGGACACGTACAATTCACCCTTTCTGCTTCGCCTCTCTTCTTTGGTGGTGTCAACTCAAGCGGTGAGCTCTCGATGAGCCGCACGAATGCCCTGCACTCTTCGGGAGTGAACAAGTCCTGTCGTATGGAGCGAGAAAGTTTAGCTTGCTCTCGCAACCGTTAGAAAACTCATCATGTCTCAACTAACGTCAATGAGGAGGATTTGGTCTTCAAGGAGGGCGCGACAGTCGAGATAATTCTTGGCTGACACATGAGGGAACTGCACTATGATTGGTTGATGTTTGGAGGAATTCGTGGCGGTGGGTTTTGTCGCAGCATTCCTAGGCATTCTGAAAGTATCATGTAAGAAAGCTTGGAGTGGCAGACCGACTTGAGACAAACTGAAGGAGAGTGTAAGTTATTTTGACAGGAACATAACCATGTCTTTGTCGCAGGCTAGTTAGGTCACTTTGCCGGAGTGGTTAACGGGATCGCCTGCTATTCATAGTTGTTAGCGGTTGTGCTTTGCACGCGAGTGTTCGAATCGCTCAGGTGACGCTTTTTGCAAGTCGTTTTAGATCTACGTGCGGGGATTACCAAGCTTTCAATTACAATATTATGCAGTATCAACGGATTGCGTCAACAGTTCTTACGATACAGAGAGACACAACATATAATCAGCTCAGTTTCCGTCTGCAGGAGCCCAGAGAACGCAGCGTCCACTGGCATTCCCGGACGCAACTCGCTCAACGATACTGGGATGTGAGCAGGTGACAGCTTGCACAGCGGTAATGTCCTTGTCTTGGAGCTTGGCAACAAGCTCTCCCTAGAATACATGCAAAGAATGTTAGCGAGCTTTCCTGACGCCAGATCTCAGGCCGACCTTGCACGTCCGGATGTCAAGGGAGCGATCCATGTTACCAATCTGTCAGGGGCAGTCAGTCGCTAGAGTATTGACTCAAGAAGTGTCTGATGGGATATTCACAGTTATATGTGGATACACGTCCGGGTTTGGAGACCATTGTGCCCTGAGAATTGTGACCCATTTCCCCTATATATATAGTGTGAGTAATGCTGGTCAGAATAGTGTGTTGAGTGTAACACACCGTCTGACAATTGTGCTTGAACGTGGCAGCAGGGCGGAAAGTCGGGAACGATCCAGCACGCTGCATAAACGCAGGGTTCACATCCCACACTATGACGAGACATGAGCGATAATGACGAGTAATTTTATTGCAACAAGACATACGTCTAATGGTGTTGTCGTAGCTTGTACTGACGATCCGTCTTCCATGCGGATCCCAATACGCTGAGCTGGCAGACTGGCCATGTCTCCACTCAGCTCTCATCAAGCTTTTGTTGTCCTTAGCCTGCGTCTTCTCTTCGATTTCTTCGAATTTAATCTCCACTGGACTCGGACGACCCTTGCCCAGACTGTGCAATTTCCGAACATCCCACACGCTAGATATTGGCAATGAGCATTCGTGCTATCCAAAGAATTTGAAATAACGCGTGCATACCGCAGAGCCTTGCTATTCGAGGCTGTAAGGAGGAAAACAGGATCTACAGGGTTGATACTGACGCAGCCTATCTTGTTTGCTGAGAGTTGATACCAACGAGCCTTCGACTTGTCTTCCCTAAGGTCCAGATGAGTAACACCACCAGAGACGTCTGAGGCCCACAGCTCGTGTCCTGTTGGTGTCAAGTCGATCGACTGTAGTTGAATGTCTTCATTATGAAACACCTCTCTTGAGATTCCAGAAACGAACGACGTGCATCTAACAGTGCAGTCGTATGAGCTCGTGAAGACCTGTGTCTCCGTTTATAAGCGACAGGACGGTACTGGGTTCAAGTGAACTTCTTACGCTATGTGAATCGATTGGATCAAACTTTACAGTCGAAATTGATGATCCAGCAGTTGCTGGCCAGTGCACCTGCATTCGCCAGTATTTCCCAGCCTCGTTATCGTGAGTCGAAGTGTCTGCATCATCGTCATCAAAGCCATCTGGAGCGGCACGAGCATCCCAGATACCCAAAGCCCCGTTTTTATCTGAAAACCACAGTCATTAATTCTCAAGGACGCGGCATTTGTTCTTACGACGCTCACCTCCGAAAAATATGAGGTCTTTGGTAACTTCAGGATGGTACGCCGCTGAGTACACTCGCTCCTTAGTGACCTTGGCCCTGGCAACAACTTTCAAAGGCTTTAGCTTCTCCTTTAGCTGGGTAACTTCTCGTCCCTGCTGCGATTCTTCGTCGTCAAAGTCCTCCTGGCTACCTATTCGTCTCGGTCGACTCGTCTGCAATGGGACTTGAAGAGCGGCTGCAAGCGCAATCACAGATGAAGCCTCCGTATCATCCAGTAGCGTGTACATCTCCAGATCGTCATGGCGTGGTTTCCGTGCCTCTCTGGCGCGTTCTTCCTCTGCGAAACGCTCCTCTTCTGCTTTCTTCCGCAGTGCCTCCTCTTCTTGCTGATGATAATATCAACTACGTTTCATAATCTACTGTTAGTCATATCATACCTCTCGTAGCCTCTTCTGTTCGGATGTTTCGTTAGGAGCGGGTGCAGTCCGTTTGATTCGGTTGGACTGTCGGGAGGGAGCGGTTGTGGGGGCGGGTGACGAGGAACGTTTCCTCTTCTTCGTTAAGGCCTGTGCGGTTTTGGTTCTTGGCTTTGCTGTGGTCTTGGCTTTAGGCTGTTGTTTTGGTACGTCCAATGACACATCTAGCTGTGCGAGAAGGGCGCGGTTCCGCGCAATGGTGGCTTCGCGTTCCGCTTCACTGAAAACACGAAACAGTTAGCAGCATTGTTGCATTAATGACCTCGCTCACAAATCAGACATATTTCGTGCAAGTTCAAGACGTCGCTGGAGGAAGATAGAATGAGTTGGTCGTTCAAGTTCTCCACTAAGAGGTCATAGCGCGTCGCGTCACGGAAAATGTCACTTGTGACATCTCGCGCTGACAAAGTCACACCGCGATCTAGATCTCAGGACTTTTGTACATCCGCATACAAAACAACCCAAAGCTAGTAAGCATCTGTAGGTTCGCCCATATCCACTATAAAAGTAGTTCTGCCACCCCTGGGCAATATGAGAACCTTCTCGGCACCGTGCAGCTGGTGTGCCCTACAGCTAGGGACCACAGAACCCATCCGACTGTCACTGGCAATGGGAAGAGCTTCAACAGCCACCCTAGGAAGCATCAGCTCCCCGTGATGTAGTGCAATCAAAGTGATATTCGTTTCAAACGTCTGGCCGTCCTGCAGTTCACCCTTCAATACGTAAAACCAAGTAACTCTGGAAGAGACACGCTAACCTTTGCGACGAAATCGCCAGTTTTCCTCCCACTAACGAGCCAGTCCGCCGTCAACTCCCCAATGTCAAACCGCATGGCATAGGCCTGGCTCGTTAAATGGTCCTTCGGAGACCAGTGAAACGTCGGTGTGATTGATAACGTAGCCGATATGGGCTGCCCTGCGTAGAGAGGGGGAAGCTTGCCAATCGAGCCCACCGTGCCAAATGGTGTGGGTAAAAGGCGGAGGCGAGCAGCCGCCAGAATCTAATAATACAACTCTAATCCAAGAGAGATAATCGCAGCAAGACATAAACGTACGTGCACACTAGGTACATCCGTCTTGATATGGATCTCTCGCCATATGGTCGTATTCCTCTCAGGTGGACATCCTCGTTTTAGGACCTACAAGAGCGCGTTACTGAATGTGACAAACATGTAAGTCAGGAGACTCGCCTCTGTCGCACGCTCGAAGGCCTCGTTGAGACGGTCATGCGTACATGATGCGTTGGGTACAATCAGTTCACCAGTTACACCGTAGAGCTTCACCCAGCTAGCATCGCTCTCTAGCGCTTGCACTAGAATGTCCACCAGAGTATCATGGTCGGCCTGTGAGGTTGAATCGCCCATACCCTCTCTGACAGCGTTATCGATGAAGCCTTCTACCTCTACCCAATACTCAGAGGCAGCAAAGTAGAGCAGAAGGGTCGACGTACCTTCACGAAGCATACGGTATTTGATACAGAGACCAACAAACTCCGCTGCTATTGTCATCTATAAGAATCTTTGACCTGTTATTCCTGCAAGAGCGTACCTGGACCCTGTTTCGAATCAAGCTGGAATAAGAAGCGACCTGGTTGTCCCGGCGTCACTGTCTTGAAACAATGTCGTTGTGTAAACTGCTAGCAAGTGAGAGATCCATCTTACCGTTATCGTTGAGCTTTGCGTAACGCTCTTTGTGATCTTGAGCTCATCATCCTCACCCTCCGCGGTGAGCTCCAGAGACTTGATACGGATGTACTGGTGAGTAGTAGTAGACAGCGTAAACCTCGTGAAGAGTCTTGGAAAACTCTCCCTCAGTACGAAAAAATCACGCATTTTTGAAGTAGTAACTCACCGTGTGCCGCGGAAAAAATCCTCGACGTTGATTGTGAGAGGTAGTGACACAAGAACGACTCGCGCTAAGCGGAGTGTCCTGGTCAGGTCTGGTTCAAGAGATGTCACAAAATCTACAGTAATGTTCACTCTCTGCGTGCATGATGAGCAAAATATCAAGGCATGCCGACGGCAAGTGCGCACCATGGCATGTAAAGCAGATGCGTCACTATGAGGGACGGATATGGACACCGTAGTATCTGCAGCAAGATCGAAGAGGACTATGGCATCATCTATGACTTCGAACGATATGCTGGCTATTTCATGGTGAGAAGCTGAAAAGGCATGAGATCTCATTGACGCACCATCTCCTTCAAGGCCAATCTTGTCGGTTTCAAATTGTATACCTGATGGCGCTGAGAGACGAAGCATAGCCTTGGAAACACAGTTGCGGCCCGTGCTAAGAGCTGCTATTATTCTGGATTGACCACCGACCTCGACTGGAGAGTCGACTTGAGTATCACAGAACCTGCTATCGCTCCGCCGTACTCACTGCGTAGTGGCTGCCGCAGCCGAACATCTAATGCACGGAGGTCTCTTGGTATTGAGATAAGAGTGGGCGGTCGTTTCGGTTTTGAAGCCTTGGCATTCGGGGGTGTCGTGTGCATCCATTGCAAAACAAGTTTCGCTATCTTGACCTGGCTGAGATGCAGAGAATACGTCCCTACAGTGGCTGACTAAGTATGCAACAGTTCAGAAGACAACTCTTGAAGTGGTAAATGAGCGTTTACCGAGCAAAATAGGACCATAGTGTTCATTCCAGGCACTAATGAATGTGCCTCTCCAATGAACGGTAGACGTTCTCCTTCCCGACCTGCTAATGTGACAGTAACTTCGTCTACCTCTACAGGCTTGGAGGCGGAATCACAATCTATTGCGAGGGTTGAATTCAAATGACTTACGCAAGGGAGAGCATTCCGAACGATGATTCGAAGAACGGCACCATCCCTCTTCTCGTCAAGGCGTACGGGATCCTTGGGGACCGAGACAGTTATAGCCGGGTGGTCGTGTTGAGTGACATCTAGCATACAAATTCAAAGCCATATCGACGCAAGCTAATGTTACCACCCACCAGACTCTGAGCTTTCGGCAGCTTCTCTGAGCGA